CAGCTGCTCCTAAGAAACGCTATACAGGGTCACTATGTTGTTGTTGTTATTAAGTGCCATCAAGTCGATTCTGACCCAGAGTGACCCTGTGTAAGGTTTCTAAGGAGCAACTGGTGAGCTTGAACCACTGACCTTGCAGTTCAAACTGACTTTGCAGTCCAGCGCATTAGCCCACAGCACCATACCAGGACTCTCAGAAATCCTATACAGGGTCACCATGAGTCAGAGCCAACCTGATGGCACTTAACAACAACAAAGATATATAACGTATATACACAGTGGACCATTTCTACAATTATCCTATCATGACTAATATTATAAAACAATGTGCTCACATTAACCTATAAAATAGTTTCATTTTGTGATTTATATTGACAAATAGGAGTTACTCATTTGACTTGAAATCATTAAAACTAAAGCTGACTTATTTTTATCTTTCTGAATGAATGTATTACATGCATAAAGGAGATAAAACCTTCATATTTCAATATGTATTTTTCAAAATGTTCCACGTAAAATTTTTTACAGATGATTTCATTTATTTTATGATTTGCTTTTTAGCAAAAACTTGAGAATGTTGAACATCAAGAACAGCAAAGAAAGGTAATTTGCTCATAATGAGTTTATTTATAAAATTTTTAAAAAGTGTAATACATCAAAAGTATTTATACAATATAAGAATGTATGTATTCAGTCGAAAGGATGGTAATGAAAATATATTGACTTTGTCTCTGATACAAATGCCATTTTAAAACTACTAATCAATTACCAGAATGCAAGTTTAATACCTAAATGTAGTTGCATATTAGTAAAAAAATTTCCAGGTCAAATGTTATGCTTGCCAGATTCTCACGGTACATATGGCATAGAATCGTAACTTGTTCACTTATCAATTATATAGCTTTATTGTCAAGTTTTCTATATCTTACCTTCCTCATTTATAGACTATGACTATTAATAAGACTATCTAATATTTGTTGTCAAGTTTTCTGTGTTTTACCTTCCTTATTAATAGACTAAGACTATTAATAAGACTGTCTAACACTAATCCTGGTGTGGCGCTATGGGCTAATGTGTCAGACTGCAAAGTCATTTGAACTGCAAGGTCAGTGGTTCAAGCTCACCAGCTGCTTCTTGGAAACCCTATGGGTCAGAATCAACTCGATGGCACTTAACAACATAAACAGTACTGATAGGGCACAACTCAAGAATTGGTAATTGAAATGAGGAATACATGAGCTCAGAAACTAAGAAAATTAAAAATAGGAGTGAAATGGAATGCATAAAGATCTACATCTTATGGTTTTCAGGGCTGCAAATCATATGTAAGTTCAGGCTGAAGCTGAAAAAATTTTAAAACAAGTTAGTAGGAATCAAAATACAATCTTGAGTGTGTTGTTAGGTGCCGTCGAGTCAGTACTGACTCATAGTGACCCTATGCACAAAAGAATGAAACACTGCCTGGTCCTGAGCCAACGTCACAATTGTTGCCATGCTTGAGCCCATTGATGCTGCCACTTTGCCAATCCATTTTACTGGAGGTCTTCTTGTTTTTCTCTGACCCTCCATCTTACCAAATGTGATATCCTTCTCCAGTGGCTGGACCTTCTTGACATGTCTGACGTATGAGAGATGAAGTTGGGCCATCCTGGCCTGCAAGGAGCTCTCTGGCTGTACTTCTTCCAACACAAAACTGTTGGTTCTTTAGGCAGCCCATAGCACTTTCAATATTCTCCTCCAACACCATAACTCAAAAGCATCAATTCTTCTATGGTCTTCCTTATTCACTAGCCAGCTTTCACATGTATATGAGATTATTGAAAATACCATGGCTTGGGTCAGGCACACCTTGGTCCGCAAACTGACATCTTTGATCTTCAACCTTTTAAAAAGGTCTTGTGCAGCAGATTTGCCTAATGCAATACATCGTTTGATCTCTTGACTGCTGCTTCCGTGAGTGTTGATAGATGATCCAAGAAGAATGAAGTCTTTGACAACCTCAATTTTTTCTCTGTTGATAAGAATGTTGTTTATTGGTCTAGTGGTGAGAATTTTTCTTTTCTTTACATTGAGATGCAATGTATATCAAATGCTGTGCTCTTTGATCTTCATCAGTTAATATTTTAAGTCCTCTTCACTTTCAGCAAGCAAGGTTGTATCATCTGCATATGGCAGGTTGTTAATGAGCCTTCCTCCAATCCTGATGCCACATTTTTTTCATATAAAACAGCTTCTTGGATTATTTGCTCAGCATACAGGTTGAATAAGTATGGTGAAAGAATATAACACTGTGGCACACGTTTCCTAGTTTTAAACCATACAGTGTTCCTATGTTCTGTTTGAACAACAGCTTCTTGGGTCATGTACAGATTTCTCACGAGTATCTTGAGTATATCTCACCTGGCGATATATATATATCAGTGTTCAATCATTTCAGCAGGTAGCATATGATTAAGAATCTATGGCACTGAAGAATCAATAATTGATGGCATTGAAGAAAGAAGTCCAAGTTGTATTGAAGGCATTGGCAAAAAGCAAGATAGCAGGAATTGACACAGTACACATTTAAATATTACATGCAGCAATGAAAGCACTTACTCATCTATGTCAAGAAATTTGTATGGTAGTTACTGGGTCCAAAAGAATGTGGAAATTATTGAACAATATAATTAATTCCACATACAACAAAATTTTGCTGAAGAGAATTAGAAAATGGCTGGAGCGTAACATTGCCATGGATTTGCCAAAAATTCAAGCTTGATTCAAAAAAATAATGTGAAATGAGGGATATCTTTGCTAAAAGAAATTAAAGTGCCAGAAAAAAATATTTACTTATCATTTATTGATCATGTAAAAGCATTGGGCTATGGATTATAACAGACTATGGATAACATTTCAAAGGATAGGAATTCCAATACCTGAAAAGCCAAGCATGTGCTCTTGGGGAACCTGTATGTACACCAAGAGGTAGTTGTTCAAGCAGATAATAACAAGGGGATAATAACTGGTTCAAAATCAAGAAAGGAGTGTTTCAGGCTTGTCTCCTTTCACCATATGTATTCAATCTGCATTAAATAATTCTAGAAAGTGGATTATATGAAGAAGAAAGTGGCATCAGATTGGAGTTAGACTTATTTCGAACCTGAGATATGCAGATGATACAACCTTGCTACTTAAGGGAAGAGAACTTGAAATACTTACTGAAAAAGATCAGCGATTATAGTCTTAAGCATGGATTGCACCTCAATGTAAAGAAAATGAAAATTATCACAACTGGACCAATAAAAGCATTATGATAAAGGGAGAAAAGATTGAAATTGCCTAAGTCTTCATTTTGCTTGTATCCAGAATCAGTACTCTGGGGTCAGTAGTCAAGAAATCAAAGGATATACTGCATTAGACAAATCAACTGCAAAAGACATCTTAAAGTATTAAAGGACAAAGATGTCAGTTTGTGGACTCAGGTGTGTCTGGCCCAAGTATGGTATTTTCAATGACCACATATGCATGGAAAAAGTGTACAATGAATAAGAAAGACTGGAAAAGAATTAATACATTTGAATTATGGTATTGGTGAAGAATATAGGAAGTGCCATGGACTACCAGAATAGCAAACAAATCCATCTTGGAAGAAGTACAGCCGAAACGTTCCTTAGAAGTAAGAATGGTGAGATTCTTTGAACATGTTGTCAGGAAGGACCGTGCTTGGTAAAGTGGAGAGTAAGTAAAAAAGAGGAAAACCCTCAGTGAGATGTATTGGCAAAGTGGCAGCAACAATGGGCTCAACCATAACAATTGTTAGGATGCCACAGGATTAGGCAGTGTTTTGTTCTGTTGTATACATAGGGGCACTATGAGTCAGAATCAGCTTGAAAGCACCTAATAACAGCAAATCCCATGTCGCTGATGATCTGTCACATAATAAACACTCAAAATGTTTTACATTAGCATTTTTTCAATTTTATATTAACATTTGTTGAATATATGATATATTTAAGAATATTTCCATTGTAGAGATGAGATAAGAATGGTATAGTGTGCATTCTTAGATAACAATGTCAGATAGTAAGTAAGTAATAGAGTTTACTTAAAAATCCAAAACGTCTTAAGACATTGTCGTTGTTGTTAAGTGCCATCGAGTCTGTTTCAACTCATAGCGACCTGGTCTAGAGTTTCTGAGTAAAGGCTAGTGGGTTTGAACTGCCTACCTTGAGGTCCAATGCATTATCCTGCAATGCCACACCAGAGCATCATACAATTCTTTATTTAATTTTAAAGTTATATATTATGTAATTGTAATATTTCAAATTCTCTGTCTTATTAATGAGGATGGATTGATTGTTGGTTACACCAAATATTTTTTTATATTAGATCCAATTTACAAAATGCTATTTCTTAAAAGATTCCAAATATTTATCTTCTACTAAAAACGTTGGTTCATGTTAAATATATGCCTTGAATTCAGTAACAAATTAAGACTGAATTTTCATGAAAACAAAACAAAAATAAACTTAGATTTATCCTTCTAAGTCCTTTAAACAGACTCCTCTTTATTATGTGAAAATAACTTTGGTCTTGTATGAAACAATATTGTGTAGTCCATGTCTTCAGAAGACTAAAGTGAATAGTTACAGCTATTCAGGCAACTCTAGAAAGGTAGAAAATGTTTTGAAATCCCCAAACACTGTTTTCAACGTGAATGATGGGTTCACCTATGAAATAAGTATATTAATGAGAAATTACTCAAAGAGTGGTATACTCAATATTCTTCACATGACCCAAAATAATTTCTTAACCAAGAAAAGTATAGTTATTCTTTTCTTTTTTTCCCCACTCAGTGAAGACATGTTTTTACAATTAAATTTCTCCAAGGAGTCCTCTTGGAGGACTTTGGCACTATAGGATAAGCACTGGATAGCTAACCAAAAAATAAGCAGTTTAAACCTACCAGCTATTCTTTGGAAACCCTATACAGGGTCACTATGAGTCAGCACTGACTTGAAGACCTTTAACAACAACAACAAAAGAGATAGACAAGATTAATTCATCATGAATGACAGTAGTAGTTGAATCATAGACTCAAAGATTCTTTTTCTGTTTTCCAGGAGGAATGCCAGGATAAAACCCACCCTGTTTTCCAGTCACAGCTTCTAGTCAATCCTTATGTTGTGCCCATGCCTTACACTGTCCTTTCACAAAACATTCTGCCTCTTGGTCAAAGTGCTGTGAGGCTGTCCTTCCCTCAGTCTCAAGCAATGGAATTCCCTGAAGTTGAAGAAATCCTCTTTCCTAAACACCAAGTTATGTCCTTCCTCAACTCTCCAGTTAAGCCACTTTTGGATCCCCAGAGCCTGAATCTCACTGATACTGAAAATCAGCACCTTCCTCTGTCTCTGCTCCAACTGTTAAGGAACCAGATTCCCCAGCCTCTTATTCAGACTCCAGTGTTTCCTCCTCTTTCCCTGCTGTCTGTTCTTCAGCCTAAACTCCTGCCAATTCCCCAACAAGTGGCAGCATACCCCCAGAGACTTAGGACTCTCCAAAACTTTCTACTGTACCGAGGTCTACTTGACCAAGCCCGGGAGTTGTATCCAGTGACTCAATCACTTGCTCCAGAGTATAAACCTATTGTTGTAAGTTCAGTTTCACTTACTTTGCTGTTTCACTCATGAGGTATACATTGTGTTATAATACATTTAGAAAATGAATGCACACATGAATGGATTCATAAAACACATAGTTTAAATCGGTAATTTTCAGCACTCTTATAACAGTCAAATCACCTGGAGAACTTTTTTCTCCAAAAAATTCCAATGCCCAATCAAATCTGTAGAGTTTTTGATATAATTGTTCTAATTTTCTGAGTCAACGAAACAAGTGTTGGGAAAAAATGCTTGCAGGGATTTTGATTTAATTATTTTACTGAGAACTTCTCAATTAGGTAAAGAAGAAACAAGTTCTTTAAAGGCAGAATTAAATTTGAAAATCTGATTTGCCTTAGAATAAAGCCACTTTTGTTGCTTTCTGTAGTTTGAACATTTCCTTTTTTATACTGTTGTTCCTGTGCCTTAGTTTTCCTTCACAATACCTTGTTCTTAGATATGCAGTATGCTGTTTATTTCACTACTAGCAGTATTCTGAGGAAAAGCATTCTTGCCAAGATATGAAATGTATATTTATATATTCTTATTTTTGTTCACATTTAAGGTCTAAGAAAGTTGCAAAGTCAATGTCCTGCCTTACTTCTAGTAAGTTTTGGGAATTTTGAAATTAAATTCATCATTACCACAGTTAGTATTTTTTGTCATTTCATTGTCTTGGATAAGCCCAAGATAGTGGTGAACTCTATCAATATATTAACTTGTACATTAATTACCAATTTTTTCACAATGGCTACTATTTACTGACATGATTTATATTTCAAATATTCTTAAATTTCATTTCTAGCTATTGACATATTAGATTGTTTTGCTTTCTAATACTTTATACTTGATTATCATCACTTTTAGAACAACAAAAGTAGTTTTCTTGTGTTTTATATAAATATATTTAAGCTTTTAAAAAAGATAAACTTGCATTATTTCTAACTCAGGCTTCATAAGACAGTTCAGTTATGTTTAAAATTGGTATGTTGTCTTTTTATTCATGAGTCAAATAAATTTATTTGATTTTATGTGAAAGTTAAAAAAAGAAAGAGAGATCATTTTGAGATTCTTAGGTTATAAATTTATTTTGTAATTATGATAGAAGAATTCCAACTGAGCTGATATTTAGTACTACAGAAGCTAATATGTCTCCAAGAAAGGGCAAGTTGTTGCTTTTATTAAGTGCTTGAGTCCGTGTCGATTCATAGAAACCTTATATAGGATTTATAAGGAGCGATTGTTTAGTTTCAACTGCCAGCCTTGTGGTTAGCAGTCCATTGTTTACACTACAGTGTCACATCAGGGAACATTTATAATTAGTTTCCCTTATAAATTAATCACATTAACATTACACATGGAAAAAAAAGTTTTAGCTTCCTTTAACTAGTGCTGTATTTTCTGTTTACATTTCACAGAATTGACTGCGATTGGATCTATGACACCTTTTTATGTATTATGCTACCAAAAATGAATCCTTTTAGAATGAATCTACATGGAGATAGTACAACTTTATTTATTTTGTATATTGTCTGGGATTCATCTGGATTTGAATTTTGCTCATATATTCTGCATGTTTTTCAAGTTTATTGAATTATTACCTTAGAAGTTCAATTATAAATGGCAACAGTCTGAGCACATATTTAAAATATGTATAAAGCATTTCTGAATTTGTACTTGTTATTATTTGTTTAAAAATGTATTTCCTTTCCAGTCATTCTAATAAATAAATACCCTAGGCATATTTATGCTTTCCTGTCTTTCTTATAATTTTGTAAAGCTAATTAGCACCTTTAATGATAACATTAGATTTTTATTATTAGAAACATGTATGGAAGAATGTTTTGAAATTGAATAAATGTTTCATTTAAAGCTATCAAAAAGTAGAAGAAAAGATACAGTTATCATATGTCTCAATTTGCTCTGCAAAATTTTGGTTTGTATCTACTGTCCCAGTTTAATTATTATGGCTATACTTTCACTCAAAAGTATCTATAATTAGATGTAAATTGCATGGTTATTCATGGGTGACACAATTTGTGTTCATCTAAAAATGGAAAGGTTGGTGTCAAACCCATACAGTGGTGTCACAAAAGAAAGGTCTTTCAATCTGCCTCTGTAAAGACTGTAACCAAGGAAACCCTAGGAGCAGATTTACTCTGTAACATACAGGATTTCCATGAGTCAAAAACATCTGGGTGGCAATAGGTTTGTTTTAAGAAAATGATTTCAAATTTGAACTCTGAATCACAACTCTGACACTTAATAATTAAATTATGTTAAGCAAATTAGTCAATCTCTCTGAGCTTCAATACTCACATGTAGAAAACAATTAATTCACTGGGTTCTTAATGAGCTAACAGTAATGTGATTAGTGCACTATATGTTATTGTCATTGTTGTTAACTACCTTTGAGTCAGTTCTGACTAGACAGGTATAGTGACCTTGTTCAGGTTTGAATCGCCTACCCTTGTGGCTCAAACTGACCTTGCGGTCCTGAGTTGTTGTTGTTGTTATGTGCCGTGGAGTCCGTTTCAACTCATAGCGACCCTGTAGCAGGGTTTCCGAGGCTGTAAATCTTTATGGGAGCAGAACGCCTCACCTTTCTCCCATGGAACAGCTGGTAGTTTCGAACTGCTGGATTTGCGGTTCACAGCCTGATTCGTAACCACTATGTTATCCTGCAATGTGACACTAGGACCCCAGTGTACTATACAGTGCATGATAGATATTTTTTGTTACTTGCGTTAGCTCACACATGTACACCAGAGCAGCAGAAGCCAGTATCCCAATCACAATGAACTGGGCTATTTGGTTTCACTGTAAAAGAAACTAAGACTTATGTGAAACTCTTATATTTGTGTTTTCTGAATATAAAGTAATTGTTTCACTGTGATAAATTTTTGTATGTCAACTCCTCTAGTTGTAATTTGATTTTATACTCTCATGTTTACACAATGAATTGTCTCTAGTAAATTTTTCATCTTCCTTGCATCCTGAAGTGTTCCTTACCTCCAGAGATAGCGTAGGAGCCTTAACTCCAAAATAACAAAGACTGAGTTGTCATTGGAACTATACCTCAAAAAAAGTAGACAAAAATCAACATGCTGAAATAGATCTTAATAGTCCAAGAATCTCCTAACATAACATCCAAGATGCCCAAGACACAATTGAAAATCACTGGAAAACACTTCTTGGATGATAAAATACGTCAAATGACACCAGTTCTGAGATGAATCTAATGTTGAAATATGTGACAGGGATTTTAAAACAGTTATCATTAAGTACAACTATGTATTCTCTTGAAACAAAATTTTTTAAAAGGACTTATTAAACAGAACCAAAAACATGATAGAATTAAAAATATATAACTGAAATGAAAAATTAAAACTTGGATTATCTCCAATATTAGGAATAAAATGGAAGATATTATAATAGACTTCTGACTCATAGTAATGCATAGCAGCTCTCTATAAGATTTGCAAGGCTTTAAATTTTTGCAGGAGCAGAAAGCCTCATCTTTCTCCCATAGAGTTGGGAGGCTTGAACCATGGACTTTGTGGTTCACAGTCCTGTGCTTACTTTATGGATCCACCAACAATCCCATTTCTCCATTTATCGTGATGTTACTTACTGGATTTTTCTTTACATTGAGGTGCAATCTATATGAAAGGCTGTAATCTTTTATTTTCATCAGTAAGAGGTAGTGTCATCTTCATAACGAATCATCCTCCAATCCTAGTGTCTTGTTCTTCTTCATATAATCTAGTTTCTCAAGTATTAGTTCAGTATACAGATTGGATAAATATGGTGAAAGAATACAACCCTAGTGCACACCTTTCCTGATTTTAAACATTCAGTATCCCTTTGTTCTGTTCTAATGACTGCCCTTTTGCTCTATGTACAGGTTCTTCCCACCATTCATCTGTCAGTGTCGTACTGTGGTAGCTTGTGAGTGGTGGTGATTCTGGAAGCTATGCCATGGATGTTTTAAATACCAGCAGAGATACCCATGGTGGACAGATTCAGATGAGCTTCCATACAATTGTGAGGTTAGCTCAGGACAGGGCAGTGTAACTAGAAATGAAATTTAAGAATATTTGAAATAAAAATGATGTCAGTAAATAATAGTCAGCCGTTGTAAAAAAAATTGGCAATTAATATACAAGTTAATATATTGATAGAGTTTGCAGTGTTTCCTTCTGTTGTGCATCAGGTCACTGTGAGTCTGTACAAACTCAATGGTATCTACCAACAACAGGTTCTTCATGAACAAAATTAACTGTTCTGGAATACCCATTCTTCACAATGTTACCCAGAGTTTATTATGATACACACAGTCAAAAACCTTTGCATAGCCTATAACAAACAAATAAGCATCTGTCTGGTATTCTCTGTTTTTAATCAAGGTCCGTAATATACCTTGTTCTATGTCCTTTTCTGCATCTGCCTTGAATTCCTGGCAGTTCACTGTCGATATACTACTGCAACAATTAAAAAATTTATCTCCAGCAAAATTTTATTTGCAGTGATATTAATTATATTATTTGAGGATTTCCACATTTGGGTCACTTCTCTTTGGAATGGACACAAATATGAATTTCTTCAAATCTGGCCAGGTAGCTGTTTTCCAGTTTTCTTGCATAGATGAGTGAGCACCTCCAGCACTGCATCACTTAATTGAAATAGTCTTTCAATCCTGGAGCCTTGTTTTTCACCAATGCATTAAGTGTTGCTTGGACTTCTTCCTTCAGTACCATTGGCTCTTGATCATATGCTACCTCTTGAAATGGTTAAACATTAACCATTTCTTTTTGATACATGGTTCTGTGTATACCTTCTATCTCCTTTTGGTGCTTTCTGCATCATTCAATACTTTGCCCATAGAATTCTTTGGTACTTCAAGTTGAGGCTTGATTTTTTCCTTCAGTTCTTTCAGCTTGAAAAATTCTGAGTGTGTTCTTCCATTTTGGTTTTCCAGCTTTAAGTCTTTGCACTTTTCATTATACTAGGTTTTGTCTCTTGAGCTT